GCCATGGGCATGTTCGTGGATGGGCGCCATGGGCATGTTCGTGGATGGGCGCCATGGGCATGTTCGTGGATGGGCGCCATGGGCATGTTCGTGGATGGGCGCCATGGGCATGTTCGTGGATGGGCGCCATGGGCATGTTCGTGGATGGGCGCCATGGGCATGTTCGTGGATGGGCGCCATGGGCATGTTCGTGGATGGGCGCCATGGGCATGTTCGTGGATGGGCGCCATGGGCATGTTCGTGGATGGGCGCCATGGGCATGTTCGTGGATGGGCGCCATGGGCATGTTCGTGGATGGGCGCCATGGGCATGTTCGTGGATGGGCGCCATGGGCATGTTCGTGGATGGGCGCCATGGGCATGTTCGTGGATGGGCGCCATGGGCATGTTCGTGGATGGGCGCCATGGGCATGTTCGTGGATGGGCGCCATGGGCATGTTCGTGGATGGGCGCCATGGGCATGTTCGTGGATGGGCGCCATGGGCATGTTCGTGGATGGGCGCCATGGGCATGTTCGTGGATGGGCGCCATGGGCATGTTCGTGGATGGGCGCCATGGGCATGTTCGTGGATGGGCGCCATGGGCATGTTCGTGGATGGGCGCCATGGGCATGTTCGTGGATGGGCGCCATGGGCATGTTCGTGGATGGGCGCCATGGGCATGTTCGTGGATGGGCGCCATGGGCATGTTCGTGGATGGGCGCCATGGGCATGTTCGTGGATGGGCGCCATGGGCATGTTCGTGGATGGGCGCCATGGGCATGTTCGTGGATGGGCGCCATGGGCATGTTCGTGGATGGGCGCCATGGGCATGTTCGTGGATGGGCGCCATGGGCATGTTCGTGGATGGGCGCCATGGGCATGTTCGTGGATGGGCGCCATGGGCATGTTCGTGGATGGGCGCCATGGGCATGTTCGTGGATGGGCGCCATGGGCATGTTCGTGGATGGGCGCCATGGGCATGTTCGTGGATGGGCGCCATGGGCATGTTCGTGGATGGGCGCCATGGGCATGTTCGTGGATGGGCGCCATGGGCATGTTCGTGGATGGGCGCCATGGGCATGTTCGTGGATGGGCGCCATGGGCATGTTCGTGGATGGGCGCCATGGGCATGTTCGTGGATGGGCGCCATGGGCATGTTCGTGGATGGGCGCCATGGGCATGTTCGTGGATGGGCGCCATGGGCATGTTCGTGGATGGGCGCCATGGGCATGTTCGTGGATGGGCGCCATGGGCATGTTCGTGGATGGGCGCCATGGGCATGTTCGTGGATGGGCGCCATGGGCATGTTCGTGGATGGGCGCCATGGGCATGTTCGTGGATGGGCGCCATGGGCATGTTCGTGGATGGGCGCCATGGGCATGTTCGTGGATGGGCGCCATGGGCATGTTCGTGGATGGGCGCCATGGGCATGTTCGTGGATGGGCGCCATGGGCATGTTCGTGGATGGGCGCCATGGGCATGTTCGTGGATGGGCGCCATGGGCATGTTCGTGGATGGGCGCCATGGGCATGTTCGTGGATGGGCGCCATGGGCATGTTCGTGGATGGGCGCCATGGGCATGTTCGTGGATGGGCGCCATGGGCATGTTCGTGGATGGGCGCCATGGGCATGTTCGTGGATGGGCGCCATGGGCATGTTCGTGGATGGGCGCCATGGGCATGTTCGTGGATGGGCGCCATGGGCATGTTCGTGGATGGGCGCCATGGGCATGTTCGTGGATGGGCGCCATGGGCATGTTCGTGGATGGGCGCCATGGGCATGTTCGTGGATGGGCGCCATGGGCATGTTCGTGGATGGGCGCCATGGGCATGTTCGTGGATGGGCGCCATGGGCATGTTCGTGGATGGGCGCCATGGGCATGTTCGTGGATGGGCGCCATGGGCATGTTCGTGGATGGGCGCCATGGGCATGTTCGTGGATGGGCGCCATGGGCATGTTCGTGGATGGGCGCCATGGGCATGTTCGTGGATGGGCGCCATGGGCATGTTCGTGGATGGGCGCCATGGGCATGTTCGTGGATGGGCGCCATGGGCATGTTCGTGGATGGGCGCCATGGGCATGTTCGTGGATGGGCGCCATGGGCATGTTCGTGGATGGGCGCCATGGGCATGTTCGTGGATGGGCGCCATGGGCATGTTCGTGGATGGGCGCCATGGGCATGTTCGTGGATGGGCGCCATGGGCATGTTCGTGGATGGGCGCCATGGGCATGTTCGTGGATGGGCGCCATGGGCATGTTCGTGGATGGGCGCCATGGGCATGTTCGTGGATGGGCGCCATGGGCATGTTCGTGGATGGGCGCCATGGGCATGTTCGTGGATGGGCGCCATGGGCATGTTCGTGGATGGGCGCCATGGGCATGTTCGTGGATGGGCGCCATGGGCATGTTCGTGGATGGGCGCCATGGGCATGTTCGTGGATGGGCGCCATGGGCATGTTCGTGGATGGGCGCCATGGGCATGTTCGTGGATGGGCGCCATGGGCATGTTCGTGGATGGGCGCCATGGGCATGTTCGTGGATGGGCGCCATGGGCATGTTCGTGGATGGGCGCCATGGGCATGTTCGTGGATGGGCGCCATGGGCATGTTCGTGGATGGGCGCCATGGGCATGTTCGTGGATGGGCGCCATGGGCATGTTCGTGGATGGGCGCCATGGGCATGTTCGTGGATGGGCGCCATGGGCATGTTCGTGGATGGGCGCCATGGGCATGTTCGTGGATGGGCGCCATGGGCATGTTCGTGGATGGGCGCCATGGGCATGTTCGTGGATGGGCGCCATGGGCATGTTCGTGGATGGGCGCCATGGGCATGTTCGTGGATGGGCGCCATGGGCATGTTCGTGGATGGGCGCCATGGGCATGTTCGTGGATGGGCGCCATGGGCATGTTCGTGGATGGGCGCCATGGGCATGTTCGTGGATGGGCGCCATGGGCATGTTCGTGGATGGGCGCCATGGGCATGTTCGTGGATGGGCGCCATGGGCATGTTCGTGGATGGGCGCCATGGGCATGTTCGTGGATGGGCGCCATGGGCATGTTCGTGGATGGGCGCCATGGGCATGTTCGTGGATGGGCGCCATGGGCATGTTCGTGGATGGGCGCCATGGGCATGTTCGTGGATGGGCGCCATGGGCATGTTCGTGGATGGGCGCCATGGGCATGTTCGTGGATGGGCGCCATGGGCATGTTCGTGGATGGGCGCCATGGGCATGTTCGTGGATGGGCGCCATGGGCATGTTCGTGGATGGGCGCCATGGGCATGTTCGTGGATGGGCGCCATGGGCATGTTCGTGGATGGGCGCCATGGGCATGTTCGTGGATGGGCGCCATGGGCATGTTCGTGGATGGGCGCCATGGGCATGTTCGTGGATGGGCGCCATGGGCATGTTCGTGGATGGGCGCCATGGGCATGTTCGTGGATGGGCGCCATGGGCATGTTCGTGGATGGGCGCCATGGGCATGTTCGTGGATGGGCGCCATGGGCATGTTCGTGGATGGGCGCCATGGGCATGTTCGTGGATGGGCGCCATGGGCATGTTCGTGGATGGGCGCCATGGGCATGTTCGTGGATGGGCGCCATGGGCATGTTCGTGGATGGGCGCCATGGGCATGTTCGTGGATGGGCGCCATGGGCATGTTCGTGGATGGGCGCCATGGGCATGTTCGTGGATGGGCGCCATGGGCATGTTCGTGGATGGGCGCCATGGGCATGTTCGTGGATGGGCGCCATGGGCATGTTCGTGGATGGGCGCCATGGGCATGTTCGTGGATGGGCGCCATGGGCATGTTCGTGGATGGGCGCCATGGGCATGTTCGTGGATGGGCGCCATGGGCATGTTCGTGGATGGGCGCCATGGGCATGTTCGTGGATGGGCGCCATGGGCATGTTCGTGGATGGGCGCCATGGGCATGTTCGTGGATGGGCGCCATGGGCATGTTCGTGGATGGGCGCCATGGGCATGTTCGTGGATGGGCGCCATGGGCATGTTCGTGGATGGGCGCCATGGGCATGTTCGTGGATGGGCGCCATGGGCATGTTCGTGGATGGGCGCCATGGGCATGTTCGTGGATGGGCGCCATGGGCATGTTCGTGGATGGGCGCCATGGGCATGTTCGTGGATGGGCGCCATGGGCATGTTCGTGGATGGGCGCCATGGGCATGTTCGTGGATGGGCGCCATGGGCATGTTCGTGGATGGGCGCCATGGGCATGTTCGTGGATGGGCGCCATGGGCATGTTCGTGGATGGGCGCCATGGGCATGTTCGTGGATGGGCGCCATGGGCATGTTCGTGGATGGGCGCCATGGGCATGTTCGTGGATGGGCGCCATGGGCATGTTCGTGGATGGGCGCCATGGGCATGTTCGTGGATGGGCGCCATGGGCATGTTCGTGGATGGGCGCCATGGGCATGTTCGTGGATGGGCGCCATGGGCATGTTCGTGGATGGGCGCCATGGGCATGTTCGTGGATGGGCGCCATGGGCATGTTCGTGGATGGGCGCCATGGGCATGTTCGTGGATGGGCGCCATGGGCATGTTCGTGGATGGGCGCCATGGGCATGTTCGTGGATGGGCGCCATGGGCATGTTCGTGGATGGGCGCCATGGGCATGTTCGTGGATGGGCGCCATGGGCATGTTCGTGGATGGGCGCCATGGGCATGTTCGTGGATGGGCGCCATGGGCATGTTCGTGGATGGGCGCCATGGGCATGTTCGTGGATGGGCGCCATGGGCATGTTCGTGGATGGGCGCCATGGGCATGTTCGTGGATGGGCGCCATGGGCATGTTCGTGGATGGGCGCCATGGGCATGTTCGTGGATGGGCGCCATGGGCATGTTCGTGGATGGGCGCCATGGGCATGTTCGTGGATGGGCGCCATGGGCATGTTCGTGGATGGGCGCCATGGGCATGTTCGCGCCATGGGCATGTTCCCCCTGCCACTCGCAGCCACTGCTCATTGCCCTCCCTGCTGCTCACTGCCTCACCACTATCCCTGCAGGTCTGGACCATCTAGGAGTGGACGAGTTTGTGGATGGGGGCTACTGGAAGGGCGAGCTGTATATCGACGATGGCAAGCGGGCCTACCATGCTCTGCAGCTCAAGTCCATCTCCCTCTGGCAGGTGTGTACAGTGCGCCTCCTGTTATGGCTACACTCGTTGGCTTGCTGCTTGTTTTACTCTGCTTGTCTTGCTGGCCTGCTTGCCTGGGTAAGGGTGTGTCTGCTACCACGTGAGTGTGTGCTGCTTGGTGCATACTCGTGGCCTTGCATGGCTGTGGGGAAGGCCAAGATGTGCCTATGTAGATGATGGCAAAGCTTCAGAGACGAAAGGGTTCACAATTGATGGCAAAGCTTTGATTTCTTCAAGTACTACCCCCCATTCTTCCTCCCCCCCCCCCTTCCCCTCCCCCGACCCACCCCTGGTGCTTCCCAACTTCCCAGTTCCCACCTTTTTAAGCAAGTCATGAGGTGCCGTTTCACCGCCTGAACTCCCTTCATTCGCAGCTTCACCCCCCTCTCGCTCCCTTGTCCCTCCAACCCACCCCCTCCTCACGCACTCCCTCAACTCAGGTGGCATATCAGCTGCTGTTTGACAAGACAGTGAAAAAGTCCCTTGGAGACACGGCCAATGTCAAGGGCGACCTGGCTGGCGATGGCCTGTGAGTACACTCAACACTTGTTTCTCTTAGTAGCATTTCTGAATATATTGTGAATCATTATGTACATGCTTCTCTCAAATTTGATCTCACGGGCCTTCGTGTAAGATCGCTTTTTGGGGTGTGTTCTTTTTTATCTCGTTTGTGCATTGGATACAGGCAATTGGGAGCCACATTCGTGTTTGATAAAGGTGGCAAGTTGCTCCATGAATTTAGGCAAGTGACAGTGGCAGACCATCCGTCTCCAGAAGAGCTTTTGAAGCCTTTTGGAATTGATTTAAGTGTGCTTAGCGGAGTGAAAGAGGCAAGAGAAGCTGCAGAAGAGGGTAAAGAGGCTGCATGTGGAGGAGGGGAGTGCTTGTAATAAACAGCTTTTAAATATATATGTATGCATGTACTGATGTCGTACTGATGTGCCACGTTTTTTCGTGGATGTACCCACTACGTGCTACACTACAAATCAGCGGGTCAGCGTCGATCACAAATTCTACTGGCCGAGCTGTGACCACCACCTCCCAAGATTGACGGACAGTCGTCCACGTGACTGGTTGGTGCCCAAGATCCAAACACACTGTCTAGCCACGCGGCAGTCAGAGCGTGTGAGCCGCGTATATTGATGGTGACATGTCAGCAGTTGTAATGGCATCGGGAATGCCGGCCATGTGAGTGCACCTCACACTGTTAGCATTCCCCGTGCTGAGAGGGGGGACTGCCAGGGGAAACTAAAATAAAACTTATTTTTTCTTTACCTGAAGCCCGCTTCCTTGCACAGATTCGCGTTTCGTACAACTAGGTTGCCCGAAACCGCATTCACTGCTAGCAACAGAAAAGCTTCGACATTGCAGCTCCATACTCAAAGTTCTTATTCTACCCAACATCTGCTGGTTCAACGCTAGCCATGGCGTTCGCGACTCGTGCAACAAGCTGCCAGCTTCGCCTGCCAGGGAATCTTCCTTTACATTCCGCGTCCAAGGTGGGCTCTTGCGAGACTTCAATCCAATATCGCGTACAGGTGTTCTAACGAAACTAATAACCTTTACGCGTTCACATTTCGCCTCTTTTTGCGTGGCATAGCTGTTGCATTACCAGTCAGGCAATGCCAGACTGCCAGGCCTGTCTTTCTGCTTTCCCATAACAGAAACTTCCATTTCATTCACTCCCAAAACAAACGTACACTGTATAAGCACCCTCATTTTTCAGTTATCCCCACCCCCCTTTCCCGCCGCTGCCCCCCTTCAGGGACCCGTCTCCCTCCGCCTCCCAGTCGTGCGCGCTGCGGCGGGCGATGCGGAGAGCAGCGGCGCGGAGAAGCCGCGGATGGGGGAGCCGCAGGGGGAGCGCGCCAAGGGCATCTTTGAATTCGTCACGGACAACCCGTCGAGCCGCTCCGCCATCCAGCTTAAGAACGCGCCCGCCATGGACGGCAACGTCGGCCAGATGATCTCGGTGCGTGCGTGCGACGGTGCGCGACAGTGTGCGAAACCGTGCGAAAGATTGTGTTCGGATGTGCGAAACCGTGCGACAGATTGTGTTCGGATGTGCGACAACGTGCGACAGATTGTGCTGGTGCGTGTGACAACGCGTGTAGCTGGTCGGCCCGTCCGCGACGATGATTAGTGTCGCCTGGTTGAGCGGAGTCGGCGACTAATGCGGACAGGCTGACAGCTACCTGATACGAGTGATGAGATCGGGTGAATGCGGCTCGAGTCGGTCCGGAATTCAGGTAGGGTATAACACCTCGCTACCCACTGGGTCAAAACGAGGGTGTTATTTGGCGCAGCGGAATGGCCTTAACACAGCCCACAGGCGTTACATAGGGAACGTACGTAGAAGTTCCACGAAC